TCGATTCCCGTTCTCTGTGGATGTTTGGTCATGTTGAGGAGGTTATTCGTCAGTTCGGCTAATATCGGAAAATTTCAGATTAAGGTGGCTGAACACAGTTTTTGATACCTTTGTTTCTTTCACCATTTTCTCTTAAACCCTTGATCTCTCGGTCGGCAGCAAGCAAGTTAACAACATAAACTTTGTTTTTTCGATAGTTAAGCTGACGTATGTGCCGTTGCCATGGCGACATTAGATTTTCTTTATAATTTGCATGCAAGGAGCTTGTAATTGTTAGCAAAATGGTGTTAAGTTAACACCATTTTGCTAACAATTTAACAGAGAGGTCCTTGATTATCCCTTGTTGAAGGTTCCCTCGATTTTCTAGAATTTCCTTTGTTTAAAATCAATTTTAATACTCCAGTTACTTATTTCCTAAAGTATTTTTGTGCCAAATTTCGTGAAATTCTAATGAGTGGTTCTCAAGAAAGCAATTTTCCATTCAATCGCAATTTATTTACTTACTACGCATGCGCTGCATTAAACTGGTTTCTTTCGGTAACGACGAAAAAGCTGAGAATTGCAGGGTTCTTTGCACCATTACCTTTCTAACATATCTTTGCAATGAAAGACTAAAGCCCTCAATACACTGCACCAACTACAGAGAAAAATAGCACAGATAGTGCGGGTACGTGTTGAGTAAATAAAATGACAGCTCTCTTGACGGCATGTTTGTTTTTTGCAATCCTTGTGCGCGCGCTGAATTGCATCAGCAAATTAAAACCGCGCGAAAACTTTGTTTAGCCACCTTAACACTTAACAATTATTGGATGAGGTTGGGCATGATAGCGATAATTATCATGGCCAAAGTTTGTATTATCTGCCGAATCCGAAGGCTGAGGCGGATAACACAAACTGAGGCCTTGATTATTATTAATATCATGCGAAAACCGAATCCAATATTTGTTTAATTATGCATATTCCTGAGCTGGACTTGTAAAGATAAGAGCACATAAAACTATTTTCTGTAGGTATGATGCACGGTCCTCGCAGTAGATAGCGCTATTTATGCAATAGCGAAAATCAGACCTGAAAAAATCAGGCCTGTACGGGACTCTAACCACTGACCTCTGCGATACTAGTGCAGCGCTCTACCAATTGAGCTAACAAGCCAACTGGGAGCAGGCCGTTAAGTTGATTCGTAATAAACCCGTGAAAGTGATAAATGAGATACAATGAATATATTAAGTTCATATATTTTGAACTGCGGTATTAGATACGTATGATGCACGATCCTCGCAGTAGATAGCGCTATTTATGCAATAGCGAAAATCAGACCTGAAAAAATCAGGCCTGTACGGATCGTGCATCATACGTATCTAATACCGCAGTTCAAAATATATGAACTTCATATATTCATTCTATCTCGTAATATCTATTGTCTGTAGGTATGACGTAAGAGAATGTTTAATAATTCGCCTTTTTTCTTAACATGATCGGTTTCCATTACCTTGTGGCGGTTGTTGTCAAACAGTTCATACTTCAATTACCGGCAGCGGTACCTTTGCTTGAGGTTCTCCAAATCAAGATGAACGGCTATCTTCTGTGCATTTTGCCACTGTTCACTTTACCAAACAGTAAGTGAATTGCCGCTTGAATTCGCATCGAATTCTTCCGATAGATAGTCTGGAAAGTTATGGTAAAGCTGAGAGTGTGGCAGTTTATATAAGGGTTTGCTAAACAATTGGGAGTGTTTTAAGACTCAGATAGCAATGGACCTAAAACGATAATCCAATGTCCAAAAAAACGATTGCAAACAAAGTAATCGAAGGTCAATTTTCGCCGAGGCGCTGATCAACGTGTGTCTGATAAAAGGTGTGAACTGGTGAATCTCACCGACTTCACGGGCGTAAACGCAGGCACGAAGGAAATTGTTTTACAAAAAGCTAACATCCGTTGACTACAAAGTTAGATTGCATCTGAATTTTTGCAGTTGATGCAGTCCGTTAGTTATGGCCGCAGTGATATTCAGAATTCATTTATCATAAGCGAATTTCGTTGCCGACAGCGGATTCAATTCATGCAGCCAGCGCCTTCATTACGGAGGCCGAAACACAGCGCACGTTTTTAAGGGCTCTGTCTGATATTTGAATTTATTTAATTTACATAGATTTTTACAGATTTCTCTAAGGTTGCCAGTAGCAATTCACGCAGTAATTTTTCAGTTTTGTACTCAATTATGTTTTTTTCACTACCTTAAATTTTACACAGGTGTGTCACGCTCAAACCGTCTGCATGGGATATGGGGTTGTTACAGTTAAACGAGGAATGTTTTAAGCGAGAGCAGGGCTGAAAAAAAAAAGACAAAACTCACAGTAAGAATTTTTTTTCCATTCAGTGACCAAATATTCTTCAAGTTGAATACCGCAAAATTATCGAAATAGACGTGTACCTGCTCCGCCATCATACGCTGAAGGATAGTTAAATATTAATGACCTCAGTCGCGGAAAATATTGCTGTTATTTCGGGCTGAGTATCTTCTTTTTCGAGCGCGAAAAGGTACAACGGACAGCCAAATCGGAACTATACGTACTGCCTTCTTCACGAATATAAAGAACATGGATTCAAAAATCAAACTGAATCATTCCGGATCCACTTTTATTTATACTGAAAATCGACGAAGCGGTCACTCCGTCCTGCGATATCGTTGCTGTTATTATCGAAAGCTTTTCCCACCACATCCATAAAAACGTGGATATGCCATGTTATTATGGTCATTTGAAAATACATAGTTTGAATTTAAATACTCCAAATTTGGATGAAAATAGCTCGTCTAACCGATCCTCCCAAAACATTGTTGATAGCATAAGTACATCTATTAGCAAATCGTCTTAAAAGATTGAGATAGCCGAGAATTTAAGTAATAACAATACGATCATCGCAAAGAACGAAACAACATTGAGTATGTTCAAATCTCAGTCCCTACGCTCTTTAGGTCTATTCACAAAACCAGATGGAATGATTTTATGCCCTTATTGATTCCGATTTAAAACGCATGAAAATAGTAAATGGCTTCCCAAACACGTATATACTATGCTCAATCCAAAGTAATCTCAACAATGACGAAAGCGTGAATTTCTCTCCGATGGAGCATTAGTTTTACTTATGAGTATAATCTAAAGATAAAGTCGATCTTCTCAATCATTCTGTGTGTACTTTGTGGAAAATGAATTACAATAAGGGAGAAAAAATTCTGATTGGACACTATTACCACATGTGCCACAAAGCCTCGCAGCATCCTCGTTCCCAGGTTCCTTTCTTTTCCTCCGAGAACGACGGTAAATTGATGTTTGATTCAAGTAACATTGGATCTCTGTTAGATATGTAACAATAAAATCATAAATTTTGGGGATCAATTTGTCAACTCCATAATTGCCTTGATCCTGCGCAGTTAAAAATTTTAAATTTTGCATTTTTTTTGTGCTAAACTAATAAAGTTAACTAATCTAATACAATGAATATATTAAGTTCATATATTTAAAACTGCGGTATTAGATACGTATGATGCACGATCCTCGCAGTAGAGAGCGCTATTTTTGCAATAGCGAAAATCAGACCTGAAAAAAATCAGGCCTGTACGGGATTTGAACCACTGACCTCTGCGATACTAGTGCAGCGCTCTACCAATTGAGCTAACAAGCCAACTGGGAGCAGGCCGTTAAGTTGATTCGTAATAAACCCGTGATGATGAATCAGATACAATGAATATATGAAGTTCATAGATATCGATGTAGTTTTTGCCCATCGGCCTAACAGAGAATTCTTTTAAACAAAGATACACGCAGCATTCCCTCTCATTCCGAAAGAAAGCCTACGCTAACAGCACCGAGCTATCCAAATACATTTGGGAACTTAAGAGCACCAACACTCCCTACTCCATTCATTGGTCGACAATCCACAAAGCCGCATCTTACAAAGGAAATTCAAGAACATGCAACCTCTGCCTTGCCGAAAAATTCCTCATTATCACCGCGGACAAATCCACTTCATTAAACAAACGATCAGAACTAATTTCCAAGTGCCGCCATGAAA